ACCTATATCTCATAGTTTTTAGAGGTGAAAATCCAATGTTGCAGCAGATGAAGTGGTGTTAGATGAAAGAGGACTCATTATTGGGGATGCTAATAATGACATTCTTACCATCAGAGGAAACTGGAGTTTTCCCTTTGTAAAATAGGGTACAGAGAAATTTATAAGAACTATAGAACTATTACTTTCAATTATGAATTGTGAGTTAAGCAGCCTATAATTTTAAAAATTGGTACACTATAATTATACATAATAGTAGTGTTCATTATGATACATTCATGCATGTACATAACATAATTTGAGCAATTTCATTCCCCGGTATCTACCCTCCTTCCTATCCCTGATCCCTTTTCTCAATTCTACTAGTTACCTTTCTACCTACATGAGGCCCCTCTTAAAAATGTTTGTCTCTCTAGCCACATATGAGAGAGAACACATGATCCCTGACTTTTTGAGTCTGGTTTAATTTGCCCAACATGATGGTCTGTAGTTCCATCCATTTTCCTGCACCCTACAATTTTATTTGCAACATTTATTTATGTTACCAGCAGAAGATAACATTTTTTTATAGCTTATAATGAAGAAAAGTACTATGTTAAAGTTTACATTGACATGACAGGAAGTGACTCTAAATTTGGCAGAAAGAACACTGGGATGCACAGACTTGTGTGGGGTTAACTTTTTTAAGGAGAATTAACAGGATGAAGGCAACTTCACAGATCAAGATCAGGAGATATTTCAGCCACAATGCTGCACCTCTTCTCCATATAGCTGACACCACCCCTGGATTCCACTGCCGCCATGCAAATGGTTTCCAGTGGTTCCACATGTTTGCATTGTTGCAGATATAATTCTCAGGTGGAAGCATGCAACGGATTGAACTTAAGTCAAAGTACTTGTACAATGATATGAGTGTGCCCCCCAAAGGTTTGTGTGTTGGAAGCTTGGTCCCCCGTGTGGCAGTGGTGGGAAGTGGTGGAACCTTAAGAGGTGGGGCATAGTGGAAAGTAATTAGCTCATGTTGGGCACCATCTTTGGTAGGGATTAGTGCTCGTGTTTTGGATTGAGTATTTCATGAGAGCAGATTGTTATAAAGCAAGGTTTCTGCACAGACTTAGCTTTTTTGCATGCAACTACTTCCTTGTCAGCTTTCTCATAGTGCTGTGATGCAGCTAAGGAGACCCTCACCAGAGTCAAAAAAAAGAGGGGGCCAGTAAATCTCAAGACTTTCAGCCTCCAAAACCATAAACTTTTTATTATGAAGTTGTTAGCTTCAATGAATTGTTATAACAGCACAAAATGGAGTAAGAGAGCCTGTTTCCTGGCTGCTAGGGAATATGGGTCTTCTTTCCCATGTGGTTTCCATGGCTGGAAGTTGGACACTGCATCCCACCAATATGACATTGAATGGAGAATTATTCCCCCCAAATACATACCCATATAATTGTGTTTCACATGCATAAGGAGAAAAAAGATTTTTAACTCTGGTTATTTACATAATACCAAATATGACATTTGGAAGCAGTGTGCTTGCTATTTTTCATTGCATATGATTAAATTGATGTCAAGGATTCAAATAATATTCCTCTAACTTATTTCATATATTCAATTTGTTTTCACATATTTTTAGATACTTTAAAAAATTTTTGGCAGACGCATTGCATATTGATGGAATCAAATACTAAGCTGGTTGGCAAAGTAAAAATGTAATCTTCAGAGGCACATCACCAGGCTCATAAAAGTATAGAGACAAATTCATGTGGGTCAAAGAAATAGGTACTAGTAGAGAAGTTTAACAATGCTTACCAAGTTTAGAAATATATATACCCGTAGACTTCATAATTGCACACTAAGAATTTATACATATTCCTGAAGATTTATGTACTGAGTTATTCATTACTACTTTCTTTGATAATAGCAAAGGACTGGGATTAACTTAGAAATTAATCAAAGAAGGACTAATCAAATGTATGTTTGTATAAAACATGCTATGAAGGTATATAAACAATGAATACATCTTCATGTGTGAATATTAAACTAACTCTGAAATGTATTGGTGAGTGGTAAAAACTTTTTTATACTATGTTTCAGTCTGTGCTGGTTGGCCTATAGACTAGTTGCACAGATATCATCTGGTACTCTTCTTCATTATTCTTCTGCATTTATTCTTTCCCAGATCCTAAATCTTACTCATTATCCAGTTGTTTCCCAAGAAATGGTATATATCAGAGTTGGGGGTCAGAGGTAGAAGAGATTTTGGTTAAAGGCTACATAGTTACAGTTAGGAGAAATAAATTCAAGTAATATATTGTACAGCATGGTAACTATAGTTAAGCAACTACAGTTAATTCTACTCTTGAAAAATGCAATAAGAATGGATGTTAATTTTTCTTAGCACAAAATGACAGCATTTGAGGTAATGAATCTGTTAATTAGCCAGGTTAAAGGAGTTCATAATGTATATACACTTCAAAACATTATGTTGTACATAATAAATACATGCAATTTTAGATATCAATTATAAATAAATAAATTTGGAAAAAGTAATTGACAAACAGTGCATATATGTTACTATTTGAATAAAATTGGTAGGATAATGCACAATGATTTTATTAAAAATGAGTAAAATGTATTGATTGTAATTGATCACATTTGTTGTCTCCAGGGGGGAAAGAGATGATAAGAGACAAGGGTAGAAAGGAAAATTTCACCTTCATATCTTTTTTAAAATTTTTGACTTTTTAACCATGTGAATGCATTATGGACAAATGATTTTGAAATCTTCAATACTAAGATATGTCTGGAAAGGTGTTATGGGCCAGGCTATATGGGCAATGACCAAACAGACTCCATTTTACCCTGAGACTCCATATCATGTAAGAAATATTTCTCCCGTGGGAAAGCCCCACCTCTGTACCCATTCATAGTTACCTAGCATTACTTGGCAACACAAAATAGCAATACTTATACAATGTAAAACTGTTCTCTTTGCTTTCCATTTTTCTTGGGCAATGTACCCAAGATTAATTGTGAGAGATTAATTGTCTAGACATTAGTAACCATTCTCTAACTAGTACTCAACTAAGGTCATTTTGACCCACTTCTCTTCTGCTTGCTTGCTGCTATGCCAACCTGGAAAGTCCTGTGGGAAATACCAATGTACCCATTGCATTGTCTCATTAACTGCCCAATTCAGCTTCTGTACTTGCTTGCTTTCATTGGCTAAGCCCCCAAATGTCCCTTTTGTGGTTTTTTGAGGTCAACTGAAGGTGGGCGCACCACTCTATTTCGTTCTTTAGAGAGCAGAGTGTCTACTGCTGGCCAGCAATAAAGGCTTAATTGGAATGGCAATGTGGGTCTGAGAGTTATTTGAGGGTCTTGGTATTGGTATAACAAGGCAGGTAGGGGACAGGTGCCTGCTATCTAAGATAGAGTCAATATGAGTGAGGTTCACGACTGAGGAGGGCAGAACATGTCAGAGGCTATTTTTCAGGTGGTGTTTTAGTCATCTTTTTCACTGCTATGACTAAAGGACCTGACCAGAACAACTGTAGAGGAGGAAAAGTTTATTTGAGGGCTCAAGACTTCAGAAGTCTTAGTTCATAGAAGTCAGGCTCCATTCCTCAGGGCTGAAGGTGAGGCTGAATATCATGGTGGGAGAGAATGGCAGAGGGAAGCAGCTCACATCACAGTGATCAGAAGGTAGAGAGACTCCACTTGCCAGATACAAATATATACACAGAAGCCACACCTCAATTCCCACCTCCTCCAGCCACACCCTACCAATTTAGTTAATCCCATCAGGGATTAACTCTCTGATTAGGCTTAGGCTATAACCCAATCATTTCTCCTCCAAACCTTGCATTGTTTCACATGGGAGCTTTCGGGGGACACCATACATCCAAACTATAACAGGAAGTATTCTAATACTTTATATGGAAGAAATCATTCAAACCTCATAGCAGCTTCTATTCTCATTTTACAGATTAGGATACCAAGGATAAAGAAGTTATATAACTAGCCTAACATCTCAAAATTTGGAAGTGGAGAAACCCTGTGGATTTAAATTCAGACAGTCTGACTTGAGAGTTCGCTCTTTTTAAAATCAGCAGAGCATTTTTCCTGTGGAGCTCTGTATTCAACACAAGGAACATGGCCATGGGGGCTACCCTCTACTCTACCCACGGCATCAAGAATTCCTGGTGGGAAATTACAAATTGAGTACACCTTTTGAGTTTCAAAGATCTAATGTTAGGCCTATTATGTAGGGTCTATACACAGGCTCAGTAAATCTACCCTCAAGGGTTTCATCCAACTTGGGAGGAAATCATTAAGGAGAGCATAATTCTCTGTACTTCTAATTAACTTTCTAGAACTATGGGTCATGAGATAGATTTCCATGTGAGTGAGGTTATGTTTTGGAGGCTCATGTGAAGTTATTGTTTTGCTTCTTGTGAGTGAAAAGAACCTTATGGAAACATTTTCAAATATAAATCCTGGTATATTCTTAGAGTTTCTCAGCTAGCATGTGAGAGACTGATCTAAGCTGATTGCTATTACTGCTCTCATTATGAGACACTTTGTTCCCTCAGGATAGTGAAGAGGAAGGCCCTTGAGGTCCAGCATCAGTGAAACCTCCAGGGGAACTAGGTAAGCACTGAACCATCTTTGTATTGAAACAGTCCCTTCAAACCAAAGCTACATAATTCATGGATCTGGAAAAGTCCACACATTAGTTGAATTCAAGTGAACAGTGGGAGGAAATGCTGGCCAGAGACACTGGGAGGTCAGTTAACATTTTTCCTTGACAGAAAAAATAGATGGGGAATGGAGTAAATGGGGATTTCTAAAGGACCATAAGAGGAAGTTTTGGTCTTTGGAGGCCTTACTGTGTGTCTTCAGACAACTCTAAGCTTGGAAACCAGCAGCTCCTCCTCTCCTTCTGGTATTAAACAGTAAGGGTTCATTGTTAACATCTCTTTCTATTCTTTTTTTTCCTACAGGTCCCACACCTGAAGCCAGAAGCTATGGAAAATGACTCCTCCGTGACAGAATTCATCCTTATGGGACTAACAGACCAACCTGAGCTGCAGCTGCCCCTGTTTTTCCTGTTCTTGGTGAACTATGCTGTCACTGTGGTGGGAAACTTAAGCTTAATGAATTTAATTTTCCTGAATTCACACCTTCACACCCCCATGTACTTTTTCCTCTTCAATCTGTCCTTCATTGACTTCTGTTATTCATTTGTCTTCACCCCCAAAATGCTGATGAGCTTTGTTTCAGAGAGGAACATCATCTCCTTTGCAGGATGCATGACTCAGTTATTTTTCTACTGCTTTTTTGTGAACTCAGAGTGCTATGTGCTGACAGCCATGGCCTATGATCGCTATGTGGCCATCTGTCAGCCTCTGCTGTACAGGGTGGTCATGTCCCCTAGAGTCTGTTCTCTGCTGATGTTGGGTTCTTACTTGATGGGGTTTGCTGGTGCCATGGTGCACACAGGGTGCATGATCAGGCTCAGCTTTTGTGACTACAACCTCATTAACCATTATATGTGTGACATTGTCCCACTGCTCCAGCTCTCCTGCAGCAGCACATATGCCAATGAACTTGCAAAATCTGTTGTCGTGGGGACAGTTATCATTGTATCTAGCCTCATTATCTTCATCTCCTATGCTTTGATTCTTTACAATATCATTCATATGTCTTCAGCTAAGGGTTGGTCCAAAGCCATGAGCACCTGTGGTTCTCACATAGTAGCTGTTGGCCTGTTCTATGGATCTGGGCTGCTCACTCATGTCAAGCCATCATCTTCTGGGTCTGTGGACCAGGGGAAATATTTCTCACTTATTTACACTTTTGTGGTGCCAGCGCTGAACCCTCTCATTTACAGCCTCAGGAACAAGGATGTCAAAGTTGCTCTGAAGAGAACCCTGAAGAGAGTCACAAACTGAGCAGAACCAGTGAGGATGCCTTAGTTTCTATTCCCTTTGTTGAATTTTGTTGCTTCTTGCTCCTTCTACTTACTTTCCTTCTCTTCTTTCTTCTGTTCATCTTTCTTTAAAGACTGGGTAGTATTTCTGGTGTAACACCTTTCCCTCTCTCACCATACGACATAACCATGTGGGCTTAGTGGCTTTGTGAGTCCCTTCTAAGGAGGCTTCAACCTGATCTTTATTTCCCATATAAAATGAGCCACTGGGCTGATATTTTTCCTATCTAAAGATGAACTCCTGTTTTCATTCTTGTATATCTTCTCTATCCAGGGAAGCCCAAGGAGTTGTGTTTTTTCTGACAAGTTCATTTATTTCTCACTCTTCGGAGACAATTGTACAAAATTTTTCCAGTTTTTGGTGTTTTATTACCTATAACTGCATGAAAACAGAGGTCAAGGCAAAAATTGTGGACAAAGTCAATGTACATTTTTTCACGTTTCTTCAACATGACTTTAGTGATGTGCCTCTTCTGGGAATTTATTCTTATATCTGTGATGATAGTGTGTGCTTTATTAGACTATATTTCTATTCCTATGTATATGTGAGGATGGATGAGACCCACCACTATGCCCACCTTTGTCAAAACTCACCCATAGTGACACAGCATTGGTTGATTGCTAGACTGTAATAAATAGAATTGAAATTGTCACCTATTTGTCCATGTATTTGTGGATTGTGTCTTTGGCTTTGCTTCAAATTTGAACAATGATATTCCTGACTTAGACCTTGTTGTCATGTGTAAGGTCAATGTCCTTTGTCTTCCCAGCTGCATACTGAGTATTCCTTTTTACAAAGGAAAGTGTACTTTTACCTTTAAAAACACAAAACAAAAATGTATGGGATAAATATTACCCAACTGCAATTTATTTTTTCAATTTGATTTATTCTAGTCTGTTAGAAGTCTGTGGCCCGTATTATCTGCTGCATTCTTTTCAAATAACTTTTAAATGTATATATTGTTTTCCTGTTCCCTGTATCAGGAAATGATTCTGTGATTTGCTTATGGCTGTACACCTAATGATCCAGATTCTCTTGTGCATTTAACCATTTTTGGTGTGTGGGAGGGCTTTTGGGCATCCTAGGAAGAAAAAGGAAGGAAGGAAGGAAGGAAGGAAGGGAAGGAAGGAAGGAAGGGAAGGAAGGAAGATTAAGGAACAGAGAGAACTTCTGGAAAGTTGTTTCAGCTTGAGCCTGAAAATTGGGTTTTTATGAGATAATGCCCTGAGTAAGATTCCCATAGCAGGGATGATCTATGAGGCTTTGGTGGCTAAGGGAAACATGCCATGCACCTGCAATATTCTGATTTATAGTGGTGTAAACTGGACAACCTACAAGGAAGCCTTTAATCTCAACCTTTTTCTAAGAGTGAATATTTTTCCGAAGATATGAGGCTGAGTTCATGCCAAGGATCTCTGGTGAGACATGTCATTGTTTCCATAGCAGCATAATCCTATCAGACATTATTCTATTGTTTAGAGTAAATGAAAAAGTTATGTATAGTAAAAAGAATAGAAAATTGTGCTCTTATTAATTTTCTTGTTGTGTGTGTTACAGAGAAATTATTTATTTTCCATGGTGGATGAATCCTTGTCAGGAGACAACAGTTCATTATCCCTGAGATTATTATATTTGTTATTTTTCTATGGTTCTACAATATTGGTTCATAAGAATAACTTTAGAAGATAATGATGCCAACTAAATACTTTAATTCAATCTTTACTGCAATATTTTTGTCACTATTATAATGTTTTGAAATGCTATTCCTCTAGAAGTGGCTCAATGACCAGTGTATAGTTTCATTCGTTCATCTATATTTAGCACAGTGCCTGGTTTCAAAAAAAGAGCTTACCACTGTTTTGAATTTCACTCTAAAAAATATGTATTTTAATAAAGACATAGAATGCTTTCACTAGGACACAGAATGAGCTGTATTACATCCACGTTTATAAAACCCTGCATAATTAACAAAAAGGTGAAAAGTGAGTCTCAGACATAGCACATTATCTGTGGTCTGAGAATGATATTGGAGTCAGTGGTGCAGCCTGGTGGAGAACCAATCAGAGGTAGCCTGGCTCTGTACTGTGATGTCAATGGCTCAAATTTTCAGGTTAAATCTATAGTATTGACCTGGCAAATGCAGTTGATTTATTTTTTCAATAAAGACCAAATTTAGCAAGCTGTGGTGGCACATGCCTTTAATCCCAGCAGCTTGGGAGGCTGAGGCAAGAGGATTGCAAGTTCAAAACCAGCCTCAGCAAAAGCGAGACCCTAAGCAACTGAGACCATCTCTAAATTAAAAAAAAACAAACTACAAAATAGGGCTGAGGATGTGTCACAGTGGTTGAGTGCCCATGAATTCAATCCCTGGTACCCTCCCATACCAAAACAAAAACAAAAATAAAAACAAAAACAACCCCCCCCAAATTTAGCAATATCTATAACTAAATTACTTAAATTCAAGGTAAGTTTTATGAATTAATATAATATGTAAAATTAACATAGACTAATTTTAGAACATGTATGTTTATTTGATAATTATTAAATATTTAGATGTTTTGTATGTGTAGTCGATTAAACATATTTATATTGCCATGTACTACTTTCTTCTCCTACTGTTTTTTCATATTGGCAATTTCAAATGTAAAATCTTCGTTCTACTGATATTGAACGCCATATTAACACAGGTTAAAGACATGCGAATATTGGCTTATTAATGAAAGGTTTTTAGGTACTTCTACACAGTTCTCAATCTTTGTCCCTCATGAATAAAGTCCAGAACAGAGCTATTTAACTATATAGCATGGCCGACAGAATGGCAAGTGGGGCATAGGAAAGCATCGTGTGTGCCCAGAATTGTCAACTTGGACCTGGTACATTTGGGGTTTCTCTTTGAGTGTCCTGAGAGGTCAAGAGTAAGGAGATCTGATATGACAGTGTACCATGTGTTTGGCAGGAGTAAGAGAATGAGATGAAGTGAATTCCCTGCTCCATTATAATAGCCGAAAGAGGTGCCCCGCCACCTGGATGTCAGGTATAGCAGTCACAGGAGAAGGAACGGAGCCACTGTGGGCAAAAGAACTCTGGACTGTTGGTGGAGATTATGTTTCATGTGCCCAAGGAGTACAGGTCTTTGACACCCACCTGTAATCCTAGGCACTTGGGAGGTAGAGGCAGGAGGATTGTAAATTCAAGGCCAGCTTCAGCCATTTTCCAAAACCCCTGTTTCAAAATACAAGAGTTGAATGTGCTGGGGATATAGTTGAATGGTAGAACATTCCTGGATTCAATCACCAGTACCCCAGTAATAAGAAGTAGGTAAGTAATTAAATAAATAGTAAACAATAAAATAAAATTAATGTTAATTACCTTCAGTAAAAATAAATAAAGACTATATAATTTTCTGTAAACTAACCTAGAGTTAAAAATGAGCTTATATAGTCTTTCTTATAGAATGACTCAAATAATTCCATGTATGGCTTTGTATTTTCTGTAAAACCTGCTTGAATTTTAGTATTCTAATCAAAGAGGTGCTTCATTGCCTTTAAAAAATGTCCCTCAAAGCCTTGCCGTGGATCTTGTGCCATGCCTGATGTTAAAAGTCTAGCAATGCTTAAATTCTATAGGAACTTAAAACAACTTTAAAAATTCATTAATAAATGAAACCCAATGGACAATGATTGATGAGTTCTTAGCAAAATTTACAAAGAATGGACTTAAATAATAAAGATTTCATGTTTTATAAAGATGAGTTCCTATGTTTTCTGCTGATTTTTCTTTTCTTTCTTTCTTTTTTATTGCTTAAAACAAAATTAAGTCCTAGAAGAAATCAGGTTTATTCAAGCTTTTATTTGTTAAAAAGACTATTTTGTTTTTCAATTCTGATTACATGAACTACCGGTTTTACAATGAAGTGTTATGTGTTATTGATACAAAACCTATAAAACTTACAAAATCTGATAGTCTGGATATAATGCTGTAAATCATGATTGTTATCTTAATAACTAAATTTTGCTTGTTAAGTCACAAAGTTATGAAAGTATCAATCAACCTTATATATGGTTTGTAGCCATTTTAAGTAGTGTGAACAAGGTTAAAGGCAAATTTGCTTTATTCAACCTCTATTTCAAGAAAAATTTAAGGTTTAGAGATGTTGATATAGGATATGTATAAGATTGTCAATTTTAGAAGGTTTTTATTTTTATTTTGGCGCAAACTGCTTATTAATATAATAATATATAATATATCACATATAATAGTAATATAATAATTTATCTTGTTTACAAAGTACATTTAATTATGTATGGATGTTCATAACTGGAAGGATGACATTAATTCTTGTATACTATGTTCCAAGTTTTTACACTCTAAAGATGTTAGGACATATGGGTTAAACAGTCTACCCACATGGGGATTAACCATGATTTACATAAGCAGGACACCAGCTGTTAGACCCTCTTTAGGCAGATCTGACAGGACTGCTTTTTACAAAGCTGGGCTTGTTGGTTGGATAAAGAAGATAGAACTAAAGAGACTGTGCTTAGTAGTTCACATGTATTATGCAGACTGGATGGCTTTGCTTTCATTAATGTTTTTTAGTTTTCCGGCCTAAGAGATGATTTTTCAAAAAACTTCCATTGCTTAATATTGTCTAAAAAGGGGTCTTGAGGTATTAATCCATAAACTGACAGTTTCCCTCTTACATGGGACCACTCAGGTCAAAGAACAGGACAAAGGTCCCACATCATGAGACAAGAGATGCTTGTCAAATAATCAGCGATGTACTTAATGAAATCATTCAGAGATCATGACATCATTTGTTGAACTCCAGTAAAAATAAAAATTTTCTCTAGTTTATAAATCTCTGCATTTTTTTCATGTATTTTAACTTTTTGCTGTTTCTTCTTTGCAATATCCACATAACCATTTTTCTTTTAAATAACCTGTGTTGGAAATACATA